CTGCAGCTGACCTCCCACAGTCTACACACCTGTCTGCTGATTAACTTGCATACATGTGTAACTGACAACTGTATCTGCTCACCTGACCAGCATCCAAAGGTGTGCAGACTGTGGAGGGATATCTGAATGATTCGAGAATGAGTTTGTTTTTTAATTCGCATCCGTTGCCGGGGAAACCTCCAACACGTCGGCTGTTTTACTGGACCACAGCGCGTCCAGGCCGACCTACCTCACCTCTGTCTGTGTACGTCCATCTCCATAAATCTGCAGCAGAGTGAGCTGATTAATCCAGTCGTTATCTGAGATGAGGTGGAAGATGACCTCCACGTCTTAGGAACTGACTTTAAATAAAAACCAACTGGCCGGCAGCGAGAAACGAGAAATTGTTTCTATTTTCATTTCATTTTATTGGTTTATTGTGGGACTGTGTGTTTGCTCTGCAGCAGCGAGTCATGATTAATTTTTATGGATCAATATGTGCCACCTCCTCCTCCTCCTGCGTGCAGCACGCTTCAGGACAGGAAAGGGGGTTAAAGGTCACATGCCGCCTTACATAGATGATCACAGCTAAATAAAAGCTAAAGATGAAAGATTTGAAAAACCTCAAAATGAACAGAAATCAAATAAAACTAGACTTCTGCCAAACAACAGAATCTGACTGAGTCAAACTCTAAACACAGGAAATGTCTTCAGCTTTAGTTGTTGTTAATCTGCTTAAATCTGCAGCCTCAGCGAGCCGCTGCTATCAGACAGTACTACATATATTCCTACTTTAACTATACAGCTGACAAAGCCATGCTTTATCCTAATAATCTATAAAAGCAGAGTAAAGATTACTCGGTTACTAACAGATAAAATAAAAAAGGAGGCACGACTCGCAGTAAAACTTGCAGCGCCTGAGATTTCCCTCTTAAAGGAAGTCACGGTCCCCTGCCCGCGCACCTCCACAGCGAGGCTGATGAATGTCTCTGAAAAACGACCGAGCTGCAGGCAGGTAACTGCTCATGTCACGCTGTCTGCATAACAGACCATCTTCATGGTCGCTTAGTAATCCAAACCCGTCGCACTGACAGGAAGAAGCTTCGCAGCTCGTTTGTCTTTCCTTCGTCCACCTGGAACAATTGGAGGAGACTCAGTCAGCTGATCGCAGGTGAGACGTTAATGCGCTTAAATCTGGAAATCTGAAAAGTCACATGATCAACACGAGACGCTGATCACTGAAAACGGTTTTGGGCTGAAATACAGTTGTTGGTGCTGAGCTTTCTCAGTTGCCATGGTAATGCATCGTCTCTGAGGAGGATGGGCAGCGTACATTTATCCTGCAGCTGCAATCCACTTTGCAACCCACCTCCACCCGAGCTCCTCCCTGTTATGGCATTCCCAACTACGTGAGGTAAGCTGCTCTCCGAGGAGGTCGTGTGGGACCTGCTGTGGTGTGCATCCCCCTCCACCAAACTTGACACTTGGCACAGTGCAGTCAGACAGGTACTGTTGTCCTGGCAACTGCCAAACCCAGACTCGCCCATCGGATTGCCAGACGGAGAAGCGTGATTGGTCACTCCAGAGAACACGTCTCCACTGCTCTAGAGTCCAATGGCGACGTGCTTTGCATCACTGCATCCGACGCTTTGCATTGAGCTTGATGATACAGCTGGTTGCCATGGAAACCTGCTCCACAAAACTCTCTACGCTCTGTTCTTGAGCTAATCTGAAGGTCACGTGAAGTCTGGAGAAGTTTGCAGACAGTGGGTGACCTCTGTGCACGGCGCACCTCAGCATCCGCTGACCACGCTCTGATTTTACGTGATCTACCGCTTCGTAGTTGTGTTGCTGTCCTTCACCATCGATTCCACTTCACTATAATCCCACTAACAGCTGACTAATATTTAGTGGCGAGGAAATTTCACGGCTGGACTTGTTGGAACACCTGAATTCAGTGAGTTGGTTGGTGAGTGAATACTTTTGGGGATGTAGTGCATCATTCAGGAGACGACTGCAGCGCGTTGGGCGTGAGTAAAATAAATAAAGGGTTGTGTTGACCAGCACATCGGCGATAACCGCCGCCGTAGGCCTCAGACTGAGCCTGTCGAAGGTTGTGACGCAAACAGAATCGTGACTCACGTCTTTATCTGCTTCATGCCTCTCATGAACAGAAACCAGCCTCCCAGTATGGAAGCCATCACTTTCCCTTCAGTTCCCATTAGTCTCATCAGTCATGTCGTCTGGGAAAACATCCCAAAACTTCCAGTAAGACTTTGTTCTGTTCGACCAACACCTGAAAACCCACAAACGTTCATTCACCTGAGACGTGTGAGACCACAGATCTCAGCTGTTCCTGTTTGAGTTTCTAACATTTCAATAACAAACTAACAGCCGAGCGACGGGAAAATGCACCGCCGCAGAAAACGAGTAAGAAGGTGAAGGAAGATGGAGAGACAGACGGAGGGACATAAAGAGTCACGCTGGACGATCAGGCAGAACTAGTGGATCCCAGGAGGGACATACAGACCCAGAGCTGCTCACCAACGCCATCCATCACTCACACACACACACCTCCTGTGTGTGTTTGCACGAGCGAGCGATACGCTTCATCACAGGTACAGAGATAAAACCCCCTCGAGCTTCGCCCCAGAGGATTCTGGGTACTAGATTGCCCATTTTTAGAGACTGTGTGATTTACACAAACACTCAGCAGCTTCCTCTGAGGAAATCTTCATCACTCCATCTGCACACTTCATTTACAGTTTACCCATCTGCTCACTTTTGTTTCTTTGTTGTTTTTCCTCATTTCGGTGGTGGGGGGGGTGGTGGGTGGGGGGGTTACTGCACTGCCTCATCAGTTCAGTGCTTAGATCTGATGATGATGATGATGAAGAGGCATGTGGGCTGCAGTTATGTTTCTGCTGATCACTGCAGACTCTGACCTGATTGACTATAATCGGATTATCGGGACCAGATCGATGGAGACTGTCCTCCAAACGTCAGACTCAAGTTTTAAAAGTGTCCACTTCCAGCTGCCTCCAAATCCGGACAGCTGTGGAACAAACTTCATTATTTTAAGAAGCTCTCTGTCCTTCACGTACAATTCGGCGCTCATAACATATCAGAATTTGAACTTCCACTCACAGCAGCAGGACAGAGGGTGAATGATTTACTGGAGTTGTTCATGTTTTTGAGTGCGGGCAGGTCGGGGCAGGGCACGCACGCCGAACCGAAGAACACATAAACATGATATCAGCTGACGCGCGTTTTCTGATAAAGAAAATCGATCCACGCAGGAAATGTGAGATTTTGAGAATGAAACTCGGCATGCAGGCGCACGGACACCAGCAGAGAGGCTCTGCGTCCAGACAGCCCGCTGCGGATCACCGGTGTGCGCGGTGATGCTCTCACTGACGGCGGCTCTCCGTCAGTGAGCCCGCAGAACCAACCCGAGCCTAGAAAAGCACAGCGACAGGGTCCGTAGAGGAAACAGTACATTTAAAACCAGCAGGCGGTCACTTACATTGGCAGCAGGTCCTCCGGGGTGAGAGGTGTGAGTCCGGTCGGGGCTGTCCAGCTGGATGTGCCGGTGGGCGGACCCAGAGCCAGGAGTGTCCGGGTCTAGTGTGAGGCGCCAGAGTCCTGCGGCTCACTCACTCCCTCACCCTCTGGGAGCAGCGGGGCTCTGGTGATTAACGGCCGCGTGTCAGGGCTCGATCTCGGCTGTAAATCTCCCCCGGAGGCCCCGGTGCTCCGGGAACTCCTCCAAAGTGACGCTCGGAGCTGCTCCGGGTAATTAAGCAGCCGCGGTTAACATCACGTGCCGACTAATTAAAGCCGCGGGAGGGTAGAGCGAGCCTTCGAACAGCTGTGGACAGATGCTGACAGATGTTAACAGCTGGACTCGGTCCGCACAAACTTTAAAGAGTCTTAAAAGCGCGTGAAAGGCGCAGCGAGCGGCGCAGTGTTTACGTGGAGGAAGTAAAAGTTCCGCGGATTCCGGTCCACGCTCCTCCTCCTCTCTCACTCTGTTGCGACATCGATGAGAGTTATTTCCCAATAACACACACACACACACACACACACACACACACACACAGACACACAGGGGTCCGTGAACGTGCCCCCCCCCACCCCGCTCCACTGACAGGTCTCTTGTTTTGTTTTGTGTCAGGATGGATGATCGTTTCTGAAATAACGGCGCTTTTTTGAATTCGCTGCGATTTTCTTTTCATGTTTTATTTCACATTTTTATCAAGATTTGAAACGAGTAAAATATTTACTAGTTTTATTTGAGGAAATCGTCAGAAACTCCAGCTGGGAACCAACAGCAGTGCTGCTTCAGTCTGAAACTGTAATCTGATTACAATGGTTGGACTAAAAGTTCCAGCCTGGTGTGATGTCGCCCCCTGGTGGTGACTGTCAGCAGTCTGAGCTTTGCAGGTTCAATGAATGTGGTGAAGTACATTTAAAATAAGAGAAAAATAAAACCTGATCAATCCCAATTTTCTGAATCTTTCACAATAAAAGCCTCTCACATGTCGACTCGATGACGTCAGAGAAAAAGCTACCCAGGTATTTCACAATAAAATTCCCATGTTTCTTCACGGTAACCCTCAGCTGTTTTATTTTTAATAGAGTGAGGATGAAAGATTTGATCTAAACTACTGAAATGTGTAAAACTGGTGGAAACTCAGTGGAAAGCTCTGCAGCCGTACTCTTCCTGAAGGCGTTAAAGGAAATTAAACTCATACAGCCCAACTTTACAGCACTGACGATGGAGGACCAGCCAGTTCATTTTTGGATCAATAAATAATCAATAAAGGTGCGACTGATTAGAGCAGACTAAACCGGAAGTTTCTGATCCAGCTTCACCTTAAAATTCCTCCTACAGCTTCACAATAAAAGCCTCCTTGTAATTTCACAATAAAAGCTTATTAAACTCTTTACAGCAAGTCACATAGATCAGGGGTCCCCAATCCCAGGCCACGAGGGCCGGTGTCCTGCAGGTTTTAGATCTCACCCTGGGTCAACACACCTGAATCACACGATTAGTTCATCATCAGGCCTCTGGAGAACTTCAAGACATGTTGAGGAGGTCATTTATCCATTTAAATCAGCTGTGTTGGATCAAGGACACATCTAAACCCTGCAGGGACACCGGCTCTGTGGACTGAGACTGGGGACCCCTGACATGGATGTTTCACATTAAAAGTCTCCAAGCTGCCGCTTCACAATAAAAGCCTCTCATCTGTAGATGAGACAGTAGAGATCCCCAGGCTGCTTCAAAGTAAAAACCCTTTACCTACTTCCCCGTGAAGACCCATCGTGGCTCCACAATAAAAGTTTACAATGAAAAAACTCACGAAGTTCCTTCAAAGTAAAAGCACTAAAACGGCTTTACAGTAAAAGTCCATCAGTTTAATTTTGAGTTTACCTTTTCAAGTTCACTTGTTAAAATAAAAGCCCTTGCATTAGTTCTCCAACATTTTCAAAGTTAAAGCCCTCCCCATCTTCTTTATAATAAAAGCCCTACAGCTGTTTTTTATTAAAATCCAAAAGATTACATTAAAAGCAGGAAGTCACACAAACACTTCACAATTAAAGTCTTGAAACACATTTGAGCAGTAAAAGCCTCCACAGTAAGAATCCTAAGCTTTGCAATAAAATCACCAAAACAATTAAAATAAGTCACAAAGATGTTTCAAAGTAAAAGCTTAAAAGTCTATGGTTTGCTTCACAATGAAAGCTTCACATAAAATAAAAGTCTTGAAGCTGGGTCAGGGTACTACTGCTCCTTCACAATAAAAGTCTCTCAGTACACACAAAATAAAAGCACAAAGATGCTTGAAATTAAAAGCAAACAAGTCCTCCTATCACTTCACAATAAAAGCCCACCAACAGTTTCACAATAAAGGTCACAAAGCTCCTTCAAATTAAAAGACTTAAAGTGGCTCAACAAAATTCCTTTACTTGCTTCACAATAAAAGTCCCCTAGTAGCTTCACAGTAAAAGCCTCTGAGCATTTTTACAGTAAACTGCTTCAAAATAAGAGCTCAGAGACAAAATAAAATGCTAAAGCTGTTTCGTAGTAAAACTCTCACAGCTAACTGTGTGACCAGATTTAGAAATGAAATTCTCGGAGTCGCTTCAAACCGTGTGAATTGGTTTGTAATTAGATGCTTCACAATAAAAGTCATTTCTTTCAAAATAAAAGCTGCCACCTGCTTAACAACGAGATGCTGTTGGATCCCAGAGGTCAGGCTGACGGTGTTTCCCCCTTGTTGCTGTGATGCCGGCTGATGGTCGGAGCAGCAGCACAGTCGTGCTTTTGTGTCTCTCCTTGTTAAAGTTGGATGAAGCCGCCTGCGAGGTCGTCGCCCGTAAAGTGGAAACCAGCCGCTGAGTGCCTGGATGAGCTTTTAGACCATCTCTGTGGGTTTCATCTCAGGAATAACTGAGAGCTTTTTAGTGGGAAACCACAAAAACACCTGAGTGTTTCCTGCCGCGGCTGCTTCAGAGATCCCAACGTGACATACACGAGCTTTATTTGTGGCCTAAAGTCTCAATCTGTGCGTTTTGTGTTTATGCAGCAGGACCGAAGTCATTCGAATACAAATCCTCAGACTTACAGGAGATTTGATGGCAGATAAACGAGGCCCTTTATCAGCATGAAGCAAGTCTGCTGAAGTTATAACTTCGAATAAAAATGAGCGATATCTGTGCTTCTCTGACCTTTTCTCAATATTGCTTAAAACGATTTTTTCATTTTCTTTACACATTAAAGTCACAGACTCACTAATCTCAAATATTTTGGGACAGACAAATGAACTAACGTGTGCTTATGGACTGAACAGCTGAACGTACAGAAATCCTGTTTTAAGCAGGTGCTGCTGAAACGTCTTCAGGCAGCTGTTGTTGTGAAATGTTGTTATTTAAAAATAAAAGTGAATTGAACTGAAACAGAGGCCAGAGCTGTAGCCAGGATTCATTTCAGATTTAAACACAGAGGCTGACTTTGTAGCTTATTGTGTTTCCGGGGTCTGTGTGCAGGGGATATCCTTAAATGGTCATGTCTGCACAGAAGCCCCGCCCTTACGCCCTTGAAACCTCCTTTATGTGAGGAGCAACCAATCAGAAGAAAGTTGCCCTGAAGAATGGGCTGTGCAAAGGGCCAGGATAAGATAAAGAAGGATTATTTTGTGACTCATGCAAAGCTGCTGAGAATGAGCAGAGCAGATTAACACGTACACAGACAAACAAGTTCATCATCAGGAGTAAAAAACACAGACAGACACTGATGCTCTTATATGTTTTTTTATTTTTCAGTACTCTTTTTTTCATCCTGCTGCGTATTTGCGATGATTTTCTTCTAATATATGATGCGTTTTTATATGGAGGTGCGTCCGAAAAGGTGCAAACATCAGCAAACACAAAGAAAGAGCAAGAGATTTTAGGTTCGACAAACACGTTGCAACTCGGTGACGTTCACCCTCCTCCTGGGCCTGCGTCGCTTCGTAATGACATCATCATTTTGTGATACGACAGTGCCCCCTACAGGTTCAACATCTCACTGTTTTTGAGTAAAAAACTCAGCGTTTCAGTTTTTATAAGCAGGGAACTTTAAAACTGCCATCGTCAAATTTCTAGAGAGCTCAGAGTCGAACCCTGAACCCTTTAAAACACAGACTTTCCCTGCAGAGTGTCTTTTCTACACTTTCTGCTTCTCATGAACCAGTTTACAAACTCATGCTGCCTTCAGGTGACGCAGATTACCATCGATGCGAGCCTTATCAACGATGGTTCAAAGTTCCCGCTCTGATTTTGTGCTTGTGAAATAAAGGATTTGAAACCCTGCACTTATCTTTTGCAAACTTGTGAAGACTCGAGTTAAAGTATTTGAGAATGTCTCAGTAAAATGACAACAGGCAGCACGGAGACAAACGAAACACTGTGGACGTTTAAAGCGGCGAACGAACGCACACGTCTGGTTTTTCTTACACTTTAAGACATTCTCAAATATTTGATACGCAACTAAAATCTTTTCTTCGCAGGCGTTCGTGTGAGTTTGTGAAAGGTGACAAATGTCATGGCGTCACATGTACATTTTTTTAATTTACTTTAACTTATAAAAGTTAAATTATATAGTTAACAACAGTAGGAGAAATTATTTTATTTTTAAAATCTATGAAAGTTATTACATTTATTACTAACTTGTTGCTGATTTTTTTTTCCTCTCTATGTTGAATTTATTTTATTTTTTCAGCTTTTGTTTCATTGCTATCGTGTGCTAGCGCAGCGGTCCCCAACCCCTGGGCCTCGGACCGGTACCGGGCCGCGAGAGTTGAGGCTCAGGTGTGAAATGTATAGTTTTCAGGGTTTTTATAGGTTTTCAGCGTTATTTTGTTATCGTTTTTATCGTTTACTCGGTTTTCCTGGGTCTTTTCACGTGTGTTATGAATAAATCTTCTGTTTTCCGGTACCGGTACTAGTTTTATTTTGTTGTATTTATCCGCGACACCTTAAAGGCCGGTCTATGAAAATAATGTCGGGCATAAACCGGTCCGTGGCGCAAAAAAGGTTGGAGACCGCTGTGCTAGCGTGCTATACGAGCGCAAATGTGAGCGCCATTTGTAGTTACTTCATGTTTGCATTTGAGGTCATTTTTTTGATGCATATTCTGAAATTTGATGTTTGAGAATAATGTATATTTTCATCATTTTAGTTTATTTTGAAAAGTCTCAACAGGATCTTGAGCTTTATTGTGAAAGGTTTATGTGAAAAATAAATAAGTGGACGGTTTGTTCCTTACAAACCGGCGCGTAAAACAGTCGCTTGTCCATTCGTAGTGTGGTTATTTTAAATATAACACAAAGAGAGAAAGAAAGTAAGACGGCCACTACATCAACATTTAAATTCTATCTAGATTTTAGATTTATTTAGATAATAAACTGAGATTTATGACATGTTTTGGTTACGTGACTGGCACTTTGCTTCCTCCGTACAAACGGGCTCTCACTTGATTTTTGAGGCGAACTCATCTCGTAACTTGAAGGCAGTTAGATTGAAACTGTGTTCTGGGTCTCCTGCTGAGCCTGAAGCAGAGAATGTGGTAGAAAAGACACCCGGTCCAACAGTGACGCTTACACAAACATTAAGAGGAGAGCGTTCGTGCCGAGCCGCTCGTGTTCCAGTCCCCGCGGTCCGACCCAGAACCCCAAACTGGAAGACATTCTCAGAGGCAGCGCGGCAGACTGTGACTGGTCCATTCATTTCCATCCATTTACAACCACGCCCCGCCTGACCCCGCCTCCTTTTACCCTCCACTTCCACCGATCTGAATTTAGCCTCAGAGTGTTTTTAAGCGTAGCGGCTTGGTGTCGGCCGACGGGAGGTGACGAGTTTCCCAAAAACAAACACATCAAAGTTCAAACTGTCGTTCATCTGCAGGCCGAGCTCCTCGTTTGGTGTCCAACTGCAGCCCTCCAGAGCTACCTGCAGCTTTTAGACGCATCCTTGTTCCGACACACCTGAATCAAATGAACGGTTCGTTATCAGGCCTGAAGAGGGAATCCAACCTTTTGTTTCAGCTGTGTTGGAGTAGGGATGCATGTAAAAGCTGCAGATAGCAGCTCTGGAGGACTACGGTTGGACACCCCTGGGTTAAAGGGACTTTTTTGTAACAAACGTGCAGAACTTCATCAGCAGTTGTTGTTTTAACTGTTTTAAAACGTTAAACTTTTGCTCTGTTTTTATCCCTACGCTCTTCGCCAACAGACGTTACTCTCTTACTTGGCATATAAGGTGTTTTAGTAACTTACTTAAATACGGCCACACTGACTTGCTGCTCCTTCTTATGGTACAAACTGGTGTAAAAATGAGCAGCTGCTTCTTCAGGTTCTGAGAGCTTCTTGTTAATCAGGATCAGAAGAACAGCCGGGACTGTTTTGGGGACTTGGTCCAATCATTTCAGCCTGAGCAGAGGTTTTCCATCTCTGATCTTTATGACTCAAAAATATCTTTACAAATCATTTTATGATGACAGAAGTTTCTCAGGATTGTTCTGAGCCAGCGTGACGACAGAGGCTGAACTTGTGGAACCACAGTATGAGCTGCAGAGACAGGATCGCAGCACTAATGGCACTAACGACTTTCCATACATGCTGCAGTCCTGGTGATTTTCTCCCGCTGAGAACGGT